TAGTGAAACCCCATGTTTTTTTTTGCGAAAAACCAGCTACAAGGGGGGGTTTAAGTAGTAGGGGGGAGGGTTGGCGCTCCCCCCCCCCCCCCCCCCCACCCGCTTCCCTCCAGACCGTGACGGACATTTTAATTAATTAACTAATTACTACTTAGTTAATTAATTGCCCATCATAGACCGTGACAGACAGGGTACAGAGCTGCGGGTTCACTGGTGTCGGGTGTGGATGCTGTTGGATGTGGAATCATACTCACGTCCAGGCTCGCCCCCTTATGAAAGACATCGTGCTTCCTTTCTCAGTCGTTTCATGGAGTTTATTCTGATAGTAGCAATGATAGCTGTCACATATCCATGTACATCACCTTCACACATCTTGTTACGCATTTTGAAATTCTGCTAAGTGGTGTCAAGGATCCGAGGAAAAAAAATGTGTACATAAAAATGGTGTTTACTTCAGAATCTGCCTCTTAATATTTGTAGTGTTTAATCGCTTGGTTTGATATTTCTCGTTTTTTTGCCTAGTTGTCTTGGCGTAGCATAATAGGCAAAAGAAAATAGTAGCCTGAAGCTAAAATCGAACTAGAATAAAAATCTGATTCGCTTCTCGAAATGATGATAGCAAAATAGAAATATTAAAGTAGTCGTGTTAAATCAAGAATACAGTGATATTGCTGAAATCTTGTACAATGCTAGAAGACAAAGATTGAGAGCGAAGTAACAAAACAAAGGAGGTAGCTGTCTTCGCGGTTCGAAATGATGGACATAATGTTCCAACCAATTTTGAGACATACTCCGTTGAATATCCGTCGGCACAGTTGAGAACTTCAGAAAGAAGGGTTCATATATATTGAGAGAATAACACAAAATGATGGCATAATACAGGTGGGTCATGGTAGTACAACGAAAAAAGCATTCCAGCTTCAAGCAAAACATATAATCTTCTTGACTAAAAGAGAAAGCAAAGGAGAATAGCAGTACAAAATCCCAAGAGATTTGCTTTTGCACGACAAGCCGACGCGTTGATGGGTTGGGTGTGGGACGTAGATGTTGGTGTCGACATCGGCGTCGGTGTCGATGTTGCTGTGGATGCCGATGTGGGCGTTTCAAAACATTGAAATAGTGACATATGGATATTTTCCATTATTTGAGTGATTTCTCTTGTCAGATCAGTCGGTGCACTGACATCTCCATTGGATAGAAAAATCACGCCCACTTTATTGTTTTCATTGACTAGCATAAAATATATCATGCCTGGCATTGAACCGCTATGGCCGATGTATCGACGACCATCGCTCACTGTTTCCCAATATCAGCTAAGACCAAATTGTGATGGTGGTCGTCTGCCTGTAGAATTGCCGCTGAAATCCAGATTGTAGGGTGGTATGAGACCGCCACCAACGACTGTTCGCATTTCGGCAATGGATCGAGGGTGAAGAATAGAAGATCCATTATTGAGGAACATACGAAGGTACACGAATAGAGTACGTGCCGACATGCGTAACAGACCAGAAGGATAGGCACTGAAGCCAAAGTGTTCAAACTGGAGCCAAGTTGGAAGAGTGTCCTGCAAAGAAAATGATCGAAATAAACTTTTTTCATACTCATATTGACGAGTTTACCGAGATCTGTGTGATATTCAACTGTGGTATTTCTTGGTTTCATCCTTCGAGATAGGATGTATGAACGCATAGGCATAATGTTTCACAAAATCTTCTGTACTGGCAAAGTCAGCAAGGTGCACACCGATATTGCTGATATTGACACCCAAAGGTCTGAAAATGTTTTCTTTGATATAATCAATATAGGATATTCTCGCTATTCGTTCGACAACCAATGTAGCGAGAGCAGCACCTTCATTTGAATACCATGTTGCACTACCTGATGGTTTTGGCAACCAGTATGATGTATTTGGATTTACATACGTGAAAACCATATCAGCTAACGATTCTACGAATGCTGTATCACCTGGTCGATAATAGGTATCTTGTACTTGAGAACTGACAGCAATCAAAGCTGAGTGTGACAGTAATTTACGTAGAGTGATTGAATGAGAAGGATAGCGTGGATGGAAGATGTTTTTGTCAAGTTCCGACAAGTATTGATTGATATCTGTATCAAGATCGACAAGTTGCATGACAGCAGCAGCAGCAATGAATGTTTTCGAGATAGAAGCAATAGGAAAAATAGATTTGTCAATATTCATAGGTTGTGCTGGTGCTAAAGACTGATAGCCAAATGCTTGCTCGTAAAGTATATGAGTAGCATTGACTACAACGATTGCGGCGCCTGGAATGTGAACTTTCTCGAGAGATTGTTCTATCAATTGTCGATTTGGACAATTTGAACTCTGACTTGCAGCAGTATTGACAGTAACAACGAGCACGATTAACAACCAGCACATGATTGTTTGATTCTGTTTTACGAAAAACAAATCCTTTTAACTATACCGCAGTGTATATAAGTATAGCGCAACATAATCTTCTGCGAATTACAGATAAAAAAAAGAACAAAGTCATTTCACAGTCCTTATATTTATTTCTCTTTTTGTTTAAGCTGACTGATTTCATGCCAGGATTAAGGCTATGTCAATGTTTGATGATAAGAAAAACGATGCATGCACAAGATTACTTGAAAGATTTTTGAAACAAAAGATATTCAATCTACTCGACGTCTTGTTCTGAATTGGCAATATCGCCTTGCAACTGGGTGGGTGTGGGTACTGATGAATAGAAACTCGTACCCACATCCACACCCAAATTCAAAAGGCGACGAAGAGAGTCGCTAGCCCCAAATGTCTTCTTTAAAATAAATAAAAAAACCGGCTCTATGTCTTTAATACGCTGCTAAATATCAAACAGGATGTGAGTGTTGGTGCTTGGGCACTTTTAAAAAATTCATTCCATGTGGAACCATTTTTTCAAGTTTTGGAGCGGGTACGAAACTATTTTTGGATCAGCGCGGTGCCTTAGTTTTTTTTTTAGAGTTTAGTTGTGAGACTAGGTGTTGCTTTTGTCTTCAGAGATACGCAGGCGCAACCCTCTTATTGTTTCTTTTTTATATAAATATATTGAAATATTTATTTGAACCAACTCTTTTTTTATCACTCATATCGCAAGGGCAGTAAACGCCACATTTAGTCCATTTATCAATTTATTTTTCATTGAGTGAATAAGATGAGCGAATAGATTCTTTTTTCTTTCCTGTTGTTAGAATGACTAATACACTGACGGTTTCGTTGTTTTACAGTATCACTTGATGTTTTAATAAAAGAAAATCTTCTTGTTGTTTTTTTCTTCATAGATAACAAGATGACGAAAACAATTCATATCATAAGTTGATACTATTGAATTTATTTTAAAGTAAAGTAAAAATATTTAAGTTATAATATTTATTAATAAAGTATTAGTGACCCCTAAGAGTTTGCATCGTTATCTCTTTATCCATGTTATACTGTATTTGAAGTAAATCAATATACATGAAACGAAAAATAAAACGATACTGTTCAGCTCCCATGTCATGTACAGCAGTAGACAGACTTTCCAAAAAAGGAAATTTTTCTGCGAAAAATTCATATTTCGAAAACTATCGTGACTGCAGAAATGCCATTTAAAACCATCCATAACGAAAATAAGGAAATTTCAGCAAATATTCATACTATAGAACGATACTACCAAATAAGTTCGACAAATGCCAACTCCACATCAAGTAATTTTCAATATAAATTAGTTTTGACTCAATGGTTTCCGAGGTATTACTCCACGTATAATTAAACCATATAGGAAACTCCACCAAATTTCAAGCTGCTTTAACACATGAGAAGAACTTTCTCCGAAAATTTCTTTATTTATATCATATAATTAGATATGGATATAAAAACCCATACTCCCAAAAAATAGAAGAGTTTTTTGTAATTTCCGTAATTAATAAGATTTTCTAGTAATTATCGAAATTTCTAAAAATTCTTCTACTTCTTGGAGGTAGGCGTCCTAAAATCTGTATTAATCTTATGATATTTATATGACATAATTTAAGAAATTATAATTAATTATAAGTGCTAACACTTTCGAAAAGGTAAAATCTCATAGTATGCGTGTCAGTTATAAATTTTGTTATAATTTTGATTTGTTCACTTATTTAGCATTTTTTCAAAATAAATTATTTTAAAATCTCTGTTACTATATCATAAACATATTACAGTTAGAGCTTGTAACTTTCAAACATCGACCCTTGATGAAACCTCACTGACAAATGTTTTCTAAGTGTACTCGCAGAAAGCAACTAAAATAAATCTGAAATATTGTTGAATATCACTCTATTATCAGTGTGTGAATTACTCAGTATTTCAGTGAATAAATATGTTAACACTTGATTTTTTTCTCATTCTATGAAGTCGGATGTGACGACGCATCGTGAGCTATGCACATTCGATGGGGATGCACAATCGCGACGTCTAGCTAATAAGAAATATATTACACTTTTACATTCTGCATACAATGATCTATGTCTACTATGAAAAAATCTTATTTTGAAATATTACCCGTCGAGATTCTTCATCAAATTTACGATGAACTTTATACAGAAACAATTCTCTTTTCATTACGCTACGTATGCAAAAAATTCTATTCAATTACCAATGACTACAATCGCTGTCGACTAGACTTTCGTTGTGTCAAGATCTGATCTAGCTGTCATGGCACGTCTTATTGATCCTAAAAATATTATTTCACTTACGCTTTCGAATGAAGAACAGACATACGGCCAAATTCGATTATTTCTTTCCCACTTTCTTATTAATCAATTCAGTTGACGACTTTCATTAAGTCTCATTTCTATAATTGAGGAAGATTTGGATGAATTTCAGAAATATATCATGAAATGTTCTCTTACAACAGTCTCAATATCGTTTTGTGGCTTTGATTTCAAGAGCATGAAAAAATTATTAACATCAATTTTATCGTGCAATAATTTTCGTAAATTGAAACTTGGAGATGGAGATGATATTATCACTGGCATGCGATGGTCCATTCGGTGTAAATTAGAAAATATGACAATTAGTGGTCAATGTAACTGGGATATAGCTTACTTTATCATAAGTCACTCACCTCATCTACGAAAATTGGTTCTGGAATATTTTTCGAAGGATGACACCGATGAGAATATTACTATAGAGTCTGACATGAAGCAGTGCGATCATTTAACTTCGCTCTCGTTACACATTAGTTCTGATATAACGATGGATGATCTTGAATCATTTCTTACACTTTTACCTAAATTAACATCTCTTCGACTGTTTGGTCCGAAATATGAAGCTGATCCTTCCTCATTTGATGGTTGCCGATGGGAACATTTCATGGAAACGAAATTACCTCGATTGAACCAATTCGAATTCTGTCTCACTCGTTACATATACGAAAATGAAGTTTGTCCTACTATGGAATCGTTAATTGCGCCGTTTTGAACGCCATTCTGGCTTGAAATGAAACATTTGATTGTTAAAAGTGACGAAACGCATATCAAAGAAGTTCGAAAGTTTCATCTCTATTTGATACAAATCTCTCGAGATGAATTCGATTATTCTCATCAACAAAGTACAATCGTCAATTCCTCGTTGAAAACCACTAATAGCAATGAACCAATCATCGTCAGTACGCATAAATTAACGTTAGATTTAAATCAAACAATGACCGAATACATTCAAGAAAATTTAAGCGTTGTTTTACATTTTTAAACTCTGTTGTTTCTTCTCGAAGAAATTCGATGGATGATTACTATTTTATAAGATCGTAATTGTTGTCTGAAACCCTTTTCATTGTTGCTAAAAGTTCTCGAGACGATTTTCATCAAAATTCTGGACTTATGAGAATCGATAAAAGAATTCAAATCATCAATTAAATTTTGTACTAGATTCAACAATGCTGAAAAACTGACTCGCTTTATTACCCATGTTTCTCCAATATACAAATTGTGTTATAAATAACTCAAGCTTTTCAATAACGGATATTTCAGAAACAGTACGCTGGAAAATTCTATGATTTAATACAAAAGTTAGTCTAATTGTGATCTCTGTTTAGGCAAAATTTCAGATTGAACAATACAATTTTATAAAATATTTTGTTTTTACACAGAACTATTCACCAATAATTCAAAACCTTGGTCTAAAAAACAGAATAAGATCATGAGCTGTTTGAAGGTTACTACAGTTCAATAGTTCCCTACTAGTGAGCGAAATATGAACTCAAAGTTTTAGTGGAGTATTAGACTTACTTTCATTTTTTTTTCTGATAAAATAGCAAATGTACAAAAGCATCCTAAAATTGTTTTCTTTATTTGACTATGTCATATAGTATGCAAAATCTGATAGAATAAGAAAAGTAATACTTTTTGAATGACTATAAAAATCCAATCAATGAAAACAGTACTCAAACATGTAAATACACAATCAAATAATCACCATCATTTGTTTTGATTAGGAAGTTGAAAAAAATTTGTTGGATCACTTTTAATATGACAAAGAGATCGAACCGATTGAGTATGTTTTGGAAAAAATTGCAAATAACTTAAAACATCCTTTTTCAATAAATAGTTATAAATTGTTGTATCTGTGCATTGATTTAATGTAAATAGCGTTGAACCTCACAATAGATATTAGTCAAAAGACGTACATATGTAGTGTGTGTAAATTATTCATTTCACTGTGGTTGTCCAAAATGAAACCTTTTCGTATGAGATTCCTAAAAATTAAATTCGATAAAGAACAATCGAAAATATTGTTTAAGACACAGTTTTTTTAATTTTCTATATCGATGTAGACTGCATTTAAACAAAGTGTATTTCGTTTAAATATGAAATTCTTTAATAAAACTTCTTGATTTCGTAGAAAAACGATCTGTATTGATTTTTGTTTGATACAGAAAATATTTATATTTTATTTTTAGACTAATATAACAATAAAGTAAATATTTCGAAATGTGACAGAACTTACACTGATGGTTAAGCAAGAATGGTCCATCGACTCAATTGAACATCTTTCAACAATTGTTAATCTATCGAATCTTCAAACAATATACTTGAATTTCCAGTGTGAGTGCAAATTCGCTGTAAATTTGGATGTCAAAATGGATGTTCTATTCAAGGGAGCACTGAGTCTTTATTCAATACGAATAATTTGTAATGATTATGAGGAAATAACGTTGTTAACTCGCAATGCGATCGGTTTCAAAAATGACCTCGTCATATCAAATAACTTGATATTGAAATCAAGCATTTGGACGATGCCAAAATAATATTGGAGCAAGGTAAATATTTATCACGTGTCACATTTTGACCACTCCATCACGGAGAGAATTTTGCAAATAAGATCAACAGGTGGCTCCAGGACATGAATACAGATTATGGGGATAG